TGGTTGATAGTTTTCACATAATTGTATTAATTATTACAGTATAATGTGTATGCTATGTTGATTTGTTGGTCTTAAATGTTCTTATTGGTGCATTAATTATTTACTATGGTATTTTTGCTTAAAAATCGTGTTAAATTCAATTGTGTCAAGTCATTCGGTAAAACGGTTGTTGTTATTGTTGTCATGTTATGCTATAAGCCTATAACAACCCACTTAAATYGTATGGAAAATGATTATTTATGAATCGTATGCATTACTTCTGACATATCATGCTTAAATAATACAATAATTTATTATGAATTTTTTTTAAGAATACTTTTATAATTATTATTATTCTTTCTTGGAAGTATTTTGTTTCATTTCTCTCGCTAAAAGCAAAGATATTATCACATTTAATAATAAATGGTTATGGTATGGTGAAAACGTAAATAATTAAAATGGCATTATTTAAATTTGTTTCGAAAAAAACTCGATTCTCCGAGTCTCTCGCATGATTAAATTAATTCATTATCCACGGTGGCGTCGCGTTTAGCGTAAAACGAAGCCAACGAAGGCGAGATAAAAACAATAATAAAATTACATGTAGGTACGCATGGAGGGATGTCTAATGTCAGTAGAAGCGCAATGGCATGCTGGTCGGCGAGCGTAGAGTAGATCACACCAGTTAGGATACCGTTTGAGGTGGTGGGAGGGTTGGCAATCGAGGAGCCGGTAGACAAACTATAAAAGTTTACCTACCCTTAAAAGTGCACGCGCGAAAAGTTTTTCACTTTTGAAAGGCTATTAGTTGTGTGCGGGTCGCTTTGAGAATGATTTTTCCCTGAACCTTATATATATATGTGTGTGTTCGTGAGTGTGTGTGTGTGTGTGTTTGTGGAGGTGGCAGTGCTGGAGATAAATACGAAAGATAATAGATAGGAAAAAAACACTATAATACCTTTAATGAGGTATTACGTGTTTAGGGCATGGGCCGATTAAAAACTCGGAGCGACGAACCAACGATTGTACTGCATGGGGAGGAGGTGATGCCGTGATGGTCATAGTAGATAGCAATGGAGAAAAATGAAACGGMAGTATATTCAATTACCCTGTATATATATTATATATATACATATATAAGCCACTCATTTCAGCCCCGCAGTGATATTTCTGTTTTTATTTATAGTCCCTCGACGGTTGTTCGTTTCGGGATGACGCGACGGGTACTGCCTTCGGCTAATAATAATACGACCGGAAATTAATATTTTTTAATTCGGTATATTGCAGTATAATGCGAAGTGCGTGAAATATAAATCACTGTTTGGTTTTCATTATAATTTTTAAATGTTTCTTATTTTTTATGAGATGTGTACAAAAATTAAAATCATCATTTGACGTTTGAAATAAAGCAAAAAATCTCATAGTTCTGTAGTTAGAATATTTCGAACGCTTCTAAGTTTAGTTGCTGACAATAATTCATCGATTATTTTAATATTGTCAACCATAMAATTTGACATGAATTTAAATTTTTTATATTTTTCCCAACCACAAAACCACATTGCTATTTATTACTTTATTTTAATATATATAGTAAATTATAGCCCATTCTATATGTGATAAATGATAATGTCAAGTGATTTCACAAATCCCGCTATAATAACACGGTAATTTGTCCTTTTAAATGTATATCCAACAACTCGATCAGTTAAAATCTATTGATATATACATGGTGATGCTAACTTATTCGTACCTCCCTGTAAACAGAAGACGAAATTCTTATTTATTAGAAGCCACATATTTTGCAGACAGTCAGAATCCTTTTAAGTCCAGGAATTTTTATTTACTCGAAGGCCAATATTTTTAGGAGTTAATAATACCTATCATGGATATTATAATCCTACGTTTTGACGTTAAATTATAGTAAGTTACGATACGTATTCCAAGCACTTAAGTGATTTGAAACAATTTTTTTCCGTCTGAGAACGAAAAACTTTTTTTTACGACTCCCGAAGATTTATTGCTCGACCACAATGATATGTTCACGTTCATATATTTCAAATAGTATATTATATATATGGATATACAATATATATATACATTATGATTTACAATATTGAAACGAATAAATCTTATTACGCGTGTAATACTTAAAGATTGAGAAATTGTATATAATACGTCATCTGTTATGGAAAAATTAACAACATTACTTATTGTATTATATAATTTAGTAATTTATTATTGTATATTATTGTACACTTCTTGTTATTTTTTGGATTTCTTATAAGAGTTCCTGTAGATTTTTATTTTAAATCAAATTTCTTATTTACTTATATAGTTTGGTTATAGTTCTGTCATTTTTATTTCAAGTAATGTCGATGTCATTAAAATACGTGTATTGTTATGATTAAAATGGAAAACAGCAACATGCAAATGTAATGCGTTTGTCGAATGCATAATATGTATGACGATATACACTTGTCCGTACGATATAATATTTTTTCCCAGAGTCAACTGCATTATGAGTTTGTGTACTCTATTCCAAATTATTTCATTGCCTTAATATACTCGTAAAAAACTTGGGAATGTTGTTCATTTTTAATTCATCCAAGTTACGATCACATTCTAACATCATAATAAACGTATTTAACTTAGTTCTTAATTTTTCACCATCTACTTGCCCGCGATTGTATTATATAATATATATTTCGACGGTTTACTGCAATCGCTGTTACTTGTACCGTGATAAAATCGGCAAAGTCTTGATAAAAACGTTAAAACCATCAAAACCGATCAGTTGAATTATTATTTTAAGAAATAATAACAACATAGTGTCGTCGTGGGTTAGAATGACTACTGGTATCAATAATAATCATAATAATAGGATAATAATAATAATATGACCACCAATATACCGGACTTACGGCGGACAGAGATGGAACTCCCGCCGGATGTTTATCGTGCGGGTACACATGAGGGGTGTGGTGTGAACATTTATGGTTACGTCGGCGCTCGTGCAGAGTGTGTCCCCCGTGAAGTTTATATATACTTGTACCTATGTATAATATKTTATGGATTCACGTGGTTTAGTTTAGGGTGGAAATTCCATTGCGATTTACCACATTTAGAGAATTTACCGTCATTCATACGAACGCAGACTGAATATTCTCGCTGAATTGATTTCTATATTATTTCGATGTGGTTGCACAGCCCGCGTTTGTTGCCCTACACTGAACCGTTTCTCGAATAGGAGAAAGCAAAAAAAAAAATTGAACAAAATGATAATGGCGAGCGCAACGGTATAATCTTTTTAGTGATATGGAAATGTTTCGTTTATCGACGTCGTCGCCTATGAATTGTAATGCCCTGTTATTGTCGACTTTTAAGGTTATTCCGTTTGCGCACAAAWGAGATGTCCCGGTATAATGCTTACGGGTTTATTTACTTTTGGTTYCCACCTGAAATCTACAGCAATGCTTTTTTAAAAACAGTTGCGAATATAGTACACAACAAACATAAGGATCTAAGTTCTGAATAAGATAGTAATCATAATAGTCACCAAACCCGTTACCGGTGACCGAAAAATGGTCTTAAAAAATTTAAAAAGACTAAATATGTAGTAATATTATTATAGACTAGTAAAATTTGTGGTATTCAAATATCATATTATGCATCATAAAAAAAAAATTAAAACTGAATAGGATACATTAGAATTTCATATTAAGTTAAATATTGTTTTAAGTTCGGTTTCATGTAAAAAAATACACAAATCAGTTTTTGAATWATAAAAAAAATAACAATTTATTGAAGTAGGTTAGCTGAATTTCTGGTTAAATATAAAATTAGTTTTATTTATTTATTTTTTTTTTTAAATCTCAAGTGTAATAATATAAAATTATAGTAATATTAATAAGGCGTTTTTGGTATTTGACCGCCACTGAATTTCTTTTCCCGTAAAATAATAATAATCCATAATATATATTTGAATTTTATCGTTCATAATTTTCTCTTATTTCTCATTACCTGTTGTATTTCTGTCACTCAACATTTTTTATGCGAAATCTACAGAACGTTTAAAAGTGAAATTCACGTTTTCATAAACCCTTAGAGTTCTAWAATATAAAATATGTTTTTAATCACTAAATTTGACATACAATATAATATGGGCATTCACAGTTGTCCCACACTATCGATAAAAAGATAAATTATTTAATAACAATGATTATTTTTTTTTTTTTTTTAATTAATGTTGAATTTGATTTGTTTCTCGTTGCAGTTCGACCATTATCGATCAAATTAGTTGGCGATAATCGCCCACTATCTGCAGAATCGTCTGTTAATGTCAGTTGCCGAGTTACAGGAGCTAAACCACCACCAATCATCACTTGGTGGAAAGATGCAACCCAAATGACAGATGCCAAACAAATAGTAAGTTATCCCAAAATTTGTATTTCAGTAATTAGATTTCGTGAATAAACGAAGATGGCATATTTTTTAAGAAAAAAACATATTKAAATATCACTAAAAATGWGTAAATAGCTAATATGATCCATTGTCTACCGCTTAAATTCTCTCAGCTGTAAATCATATTAAAATTATAATTAAATTGTGATAAATAACCATGTAATTAATAATTTGAAATGAATAAAAAACATCTTCGAAGTTTCAGTAATATAGTAGTATAGTTTAAAGTTGTATAAAATATGAGAAAACTTTTGGAATTTTTATGTGGGTTTAACATCAAAATTATTTCGTAACTTATAAATTATTTTTGAACAATTATTAAAATAATTAGCTTGATTTATTTTTCTAAATTACACGTGGATTACGATCGTGACATAATAATATTTTATTCAAATAGGTAGTACAATGTTTTTTTTTTTTTTAATTTGTATTATGTTAATAGTTTTATGTAATTATTATTAATTAATAATCGCTAAATCGTCAATAATTAACAAATTTACTATTTTGTGTCGAAAAATCACTTCAATGAGGATTTCTGTTGTGAGAAAAAGTTCCTACTTATTATGTTTTATCCGAGATATTCTTTATTACCACGAACATGCATCTTGACGATACTTTTTTATATAATACAAATAGTGAGCAAAAATCAGTTGAGATGTCATACCTAAAAGGTTTATTTTTTTCTCCCGCTCATTTTTCACCAAGAAAATGACTATGTTTTAGTAATATGATGACCTMAGATTAGAACAAAGAATTGAACAAATCCCCACTAACGAGGTGCTACTTTAACACCCTTGTTCCTAAGTGTCTACTGTCTAAACGTTTATTGAACTGGGCGATTAAGTTGTCACGCTCTTTTTCCTTCAAACATATTCCACGTTCAAAGTTCAAACAATCAAAATAAATATTATATTATTTCAGAATGTTCTTTTTTCCATTATAAAAACATATAATTAAATTTGTAGTAGTTTCCATATTATTAAGATTTCTGTAATAATTTAAACATCCAAACAAGCTCCTGTTATTATTTAGTTATATATTGGAGCAAAACAATTTTTAATTTTAATATATTATATATTATTACTATAGTTAAAATACAATTAATATTGTCATATAAATATTATACAATTTTGATTTATAACTTTTGTTATGTTAACAAACGCATAAGATAATATTTGTTTAATTTGTTTGTTTTCCAATTCAATTTAATTTGAATTTATATTTGTTTTTTTTTTTATATATTATATGCAATTTAAAATATGTTTCTTTAGAGCATATAAGTAAAATTCAATGGAAATAAGAAAATATACAAATTATGTACTAAATTATATTATTAAGTAGSTTACAATAAATTGTACACGATTCATGAAATGTCTGAGAAAAGTAGCCATTCATTAGTGACGCATACWTAAGTTCAAATTCAAAACAAATTTATATTTGTTAATGTGATTGAATTAGTGTACAAAATKATTATTTGGACTTTTATCTTACTAGTTTTATTTATAACTGACTTTTACCAGTGCATTTATCCTGTGAAAAAAGCAAAAAGGTAAACTGTTGTGCAATGATATGCATATGATAATATGATGAAACATATTAAAACAATTATTTCCATTACCTATGCTAAAAAATGTAACCTAATCCTAAATTAAATCAGAACTTGAATTTATAAGTAAAAATTTAAAAGTGTTTGTTATTTGRTATTTTTAGTTCCCTCACAATAGAATCGAAGCTAAAAAACCGATAGWTTATTTCGGGTTTTAAATTAATTWTAGTTAAGTTTACTTATAATTTTACTCATCTAGATTAGTCAAAATCGTGAAAATTTTCAAATAAATTTGAAGTTAAAAATTAACGAAATTTTCAATTTTCAAATATTATAATTGGAAAAAGTTCTTTGTAAATAGTTAATACAGGAATAAACAAATCAAAAAATATGAAAAATTCATTTTTAATGGATATAATTTCAAATCTTGACAAAATACTATTACTGTAAATTATTATACCAGTTAATTTCTTGTAATTTAAAAAATGTTTACGATATTGCAGCTGATTTATAGTTTTACTGTATTACTATAAATAATATGATATTATAAATATTATAATAGTCTGATARACTGTCTCGGCTTAGAACCGTTTTTTGTATGCAATGATTTATCATTGAATTCTAAATTACCACTTCAGGTTTCAGTGATTTACTCGATAGCGGGTTACATTCAACTATGTCTGTAGTAAAGTAGAGTAGTTGTTTAATTTGCCACCATTTTTAGTAATTAGTAATATTATCTCATAAAAACAAAAAACAACATCTAGTATGCAAAAGTCAGCAAAAAGAAATTTAACAACAAAAATATCTTAGACCCCATTCAAAAAAGTCTACCTATTATCAATGTAGTGATATCAACATTTCGACCAAGCTTATTTTTTCATCAATCAACAATTTTAATAAACGAATACATTTTTGTGCAAAATATTTCTCTTAATTCTAATTATTATCACTTTTCCAGTTTCAAAGAAATACAACCAGTGAGTGATTAAAATCTACTTCAGTGGTCGACAGCTCCAAATAGACAAAATTATGGTCATGCGATAAGTAACAAAAATAAAAGATACTTGCTGTACATGGAWGTACTCATGTATTGAGGTGATTGACAAAAAAAAAATCTTACATGGCCACAATGTAGATATCACTTCTTTGATAGGCAGACTATTTTTGAAGAGGGCTAGAACGYTTAGAACTTATCCCTTTTTYCATAGATATATTAAATTTTTTTCTCGTATACTATCTACGATTATTTAGTATCATAAATGCATTCTCAAGTAGGAAATAAAAATAAAACGTACATGCACTAAATATCTTGTTTATACAATGTGTCTGTAAATGCTTAAGCATGCGTGGTCATAAGATCACGCTGAAAACTTTCTGTTTCGAGTTGCGATTGAACTCGCCTAAAACCATCGTTAACAGTATAKTTACTTTCAACACAGTTAACCCCAAAACAGACATATATATACATAATAAATATATATATTGCCTTTTGTTTTTTTCTCTCTATATACATCCGATCACGAAGTAAATTACGTTAAATCTTCTGGCTGTCCGGCATCGAAAGCCTCCTAGTACCACCCCTTGATTTATATATTATCCTTCGTTTGATGTTCTATGGCTGTAATAAAATATATAAATTATTTTGGTTTTACGGAAAGAGCTTAGGAAATTTGGAAAAGTACACTTACCTCGCTAGAATAATGGAATCAATAATAATATAATAATATATCGTAATACGTGTACAATTATTAAAACAACTATTTAAAAAATAATTAATTTTTTTTTTAACACTGAATTTAGATGAAATTTTTTTAACCTACCACCAACGATGAGACTTTTAATATGATATCAACACGATATCTGTGTAATCATTTTTGTATAATAAAGTTAAACGCAGTCAACGAGGATGAGCGTCTAAAATCTAAATGGTCTTTACTCTTTACATACCATTCCTATGACTAGTATTATAGTATAGGTACCTATTATATATAAAACTGATAGTGTAGTTACGCTCAATACACTGAAGTAAAGTAAAGTTCTGTAATAAATAATAGATAATTATTTTATAAAACACCATTTCTTTGCAATTACTACCATCGACTTATTTTAATTTATGATCCAGTGAAGTATGATCTTGATTAGTAATTAGTTTTAAACCAACATAGCTTGTAATATTTATACTTCACAGAATATTTATATATTAGCTGTATAATTTATAATATTATGAATTCAATGATTGTCAATATTCTAGAATTTGAAAAAATAAACAACTCATTCAATTTAATAAGAATAGGTTAGGTTAGGTTAATAATTATTTGTGTAAGATATCATTTTTGTTTATCTAAAATATATAAAGAAAGTTTATTAAATTTTTTGAAGAGCCAACATTATTTCCCTAAAATATACACATAATTAGATAKACAGTAGCGTTCTCAATTCCTTGCCAAATTTAATATAAAAAAAAAAAAAAAGAGTGAATAAATTATGAATTGAATTCTTAAGTTTATTACATCCATAATGTGCCTCAATAACACCTTTAATTATACTATTATACAGTAATATTATTATAATTCTTTCAAATCGTATTCGAATGCTGGTAATAATATTCCATTTTTTCATGGTTCTATATTTTTGTTTGTATAAATACATTCAAAGAGTTTGGTTATTCACAATCTAAAAAATGCACCGAAAAAAATTTACGATTTGAAAGATACGCAAAATGGGGCGAAAACGTTTCTAAAATTAAATTTAAACGTCCACTTTCTGAAGAATAAGTGTTGCTATAACTGCGTTGAAATTACATTGCATAAATTGTGTCAGTTGAAATTTACATATCCTACAATTTTCTGCGCTCGAGAAGAAAAATGTTTTTTTTTAAATTACGTAGTGCGCGTAGTGCGTACATTAACCCCTTCGTACGTTTGTTCAGTTTTATTTTTATTATTATTATTCATCCATTCAGCTACGAAATATTGTTCTCTTGCACAAGCCAGAATGGTATCTACGTATATAATATTATATGTACGGAAAACGAGCATCGTTTCTGGATGTCGTCCAACACTATTTTCGCGTTTTTCCTTCCGATTTCCACCACACACATTCTACCAACTTCAACCTCGCCCCCCCCCCACAACACACACACGCAAAATGCACACACCCACGTTCGTCTGGGCCTTTTTGTTCCCCAACGTTACCGCGCGTACACCAGCCACCCGCCATCCTTANTCCAAATAACGAGCAGCATAATGATATACATTTGGAAGAGTACGATTTTCAGTTTCAACGAAAAAAACGTGTTTGATAACAAAAAAAACAACACTTAATAACAACACACACACGCAAAATGCACACACCCACGTTCGTCTGGGCCTTTTTGTTCCCCAACGTTACCGCGCGTACACCAGCCACCCGCCAT